GTTCAATCCGAGTTCGGACCATAAAGTTCCATAAGGTCAAAAGTCAATGTTTATCTTTACCTTATCTTACTCTACATTCCTTTCCCAGGGGATATTTTCACCTAACCTTCCCTCCTTCCGACATTTAAACTCTTCCTCACCTATTTAATGATGTGTCTTTAACGACTTAATGACCGCATCTGGCTTTTAGGGATGATAAGGATGTTGGTGTGTTGAAACACAGAATCTCTGGATCAGTGAGTTTAAAAGTGAGAATAACATTCTTTTTCTAAGTGATTATCAAAACCCGTTCAAACAATACATGTTTACTTCAATACAGTGTAGAATCATATCTTTTTCCTTCAATCCCTCTTTTGATCTCACCTCACGAGATCAACATATAGCATTTGAAACATTCCCACTGTCAATTTTCTTCTTACTGTCTGTCCCAACATTTATATAAACCCATCAGAAGTTGGGATATAGAGCACTTTAAACCTTTAGGAACAGTCCACAACAACAACTTATTATGACAGTGGAGGGAGAATAAAATATGTCTAAAAAGCAAAGTCCTTGTCAGCTGAGTCATCTTTACTCTTCCCTCAATGGTGGAACTGATGAGTCTTAACACACAATGAGCAGATACAAGGCACACAACAACCACATGTCACCAAAATGGCAATAAAAGTAGCCACAGAAATCAGAAAAGACATTATCATACTTTTCCCTCTTTTGGTAACACATAGTTCTGTAGAATAAAAAATACAAATCCCTTATATTGTGGGATATAAAAATAAAGTTGAAAGTTCCTCAAAAAAAATGGATTGTTCAGACAAAGTTCCACACCGGCTATATCAACCTGTTTCAGCGGGAATTGGAGTTCCCTGTGCCGTCTTGGTTTGCCATATCTTCGTCCCCCCAGCCCGCTGACGGCGGCTTCTGGGGTGCCTGCTAGAGAGATGTGGCCTGATTGTCCTCCCCCGGCCCGCTGATGGCGGCTTCCGGGTCGATGCTGGAGAGATGTCCTGGTCCTCCTCCTCCGGACTGCTGATGGAGCCTCCTGGGTCGACTGCTGGAGAGATGTCCTGATCCTCCTCCTCCGGCCCGCTGATGGCGCCTCCTGGGTCGACTGCCTTGACGAGAGCCAGATCTGTTCTGATGTCGTCCAGGGTCCTCGCAACGAGGGCCAACTCTTTCCTGATGTCGTCCAGGGTCCTCGCAGGTGTTTTTCCCGACCGCACACTGGCTCCAGTGGTACCAGTTGTCTCCCTTTCCATCTAGGCGAACGGCATGGGAGGTCCCCTCCAACCAGACGTAATCTGCTGTGTTGGCCTTGTGTTTCTCGGGTCCCCCCTTTTGACGTCAGCAGCCTGTATGGAGAAGTCTCATACCAAGCCCTTAAGTTGCTGGAAATATGGTTTTGAAATCATCTTTTCTACTTCTTTAGTGTTTATTGGCGGCACCAACTAGACTGGAGTGTGGACAAGAGACTATGCAGAAAATAATAAACAAAAATAAAAAATAAAAAATAAAAAATAAAAATAAAAAATAAAAAATAAAAAATAAAAAATAAAAAATAAAAAAATTTAATTAAAAAATAGAACAAAAATAAAAAATAAAACAAAAAGGAACAAACTATCAAAACAAAAAATAACCAAAGCTAGATTATTTTAAATGTATCAATTTCTCTTAAAAGCAACAAATAAAACAAAACAAAAAATACCATAACTAGTATTTTAAATTGATAAATTTCTCCTAAAAACGTAATAATCTCACATACATATTGTCTGATTTATATCCCATCCTTTTCCCCCTTTTTCTGAAATAGAACGCCGTTAACGGTGTTCCCATTTTCAGAAATATCGAGCCTTATACATCAGTTATTTAATATCAGCTATATATTTATTATTACTATTACTTATATATCAGGCATTAAATGTCAGCCTTCTTCCATGATTGACCTCGTCTACATTATCTGACTTATATTGATACGTGTCTGTTTGTATTTATTTAATATACTGGGCAATTTATTGATAACTTTTTGAATCTCCCTCTTTTCTTAACAACTTGAGGTATGGCTATTTTGAAATCTGACTTGGTTAAGAGATGATTTGTTTATTGGTGAAAGGAACACTCTTCCCCTCAATGGTGTGGGGGTGGATATTTAGGGAGAGTTCCTTACAATCTCCAGATCTTCCTCTCATTGTAGAGGCCATAAAACCTTTTAATGGGCTCTGTGGTCTGTTCAGATTTAGATTTTCTTCCTCTCCAGAGGTCACGCCTGTCTTTGACCCTGTATGCTGCTTTGAGTCAGCAGCACCTCAGGACAGAGAAAGGGAGATCTCTTCCCAAAAGTGTAAGTTCCCTTTTGAGCAACATAGCAACACATTAAACTCTCCCTGACTAGTTTGTAAAGCGTTCTTTAAGGCCTGAATTGAGTCTTCTGTTGTGTAACGGAAAATCCCATTCCCAAAAAGGGTCAGTTTAATAGCCCTTATCATATTATCGCTCTGTGCTTTCATGCTAGGACCTATTGTCTTTGCCAGAGCTGCTGCTACTCTTTCTACATGTATTAGCTCCATATTAGCAGGGTTCACTAACATGGTTGGTTGATCCAGTTTAAGATTTTCAATATCTTCCATTACTATTTCCAACATTCCTTATCCCTGAATATCAGGTCTAACAATGTGTTTTCCTTTAGGAGTATTAGATGGGATACTCACAAGTGGCATTTGTGAGCCCTTATCTCCGTAGGGTGGAGGTAGGGTCTCAGACATTATACCACCTTCTCGTTGCTCTCTGTCTCTCAAGTATTACACAGATTTGACTTTAAAAAAATCACACAGAGCTTCTCATACCTTATCATATCACATTCAGGCAAATTTTTATTGTGCGATGTTTATTTCAACAGATAGTCGTGACTTCCAGAAGTAGGCTTCTACAATCTCCTCACGGTGATTGCGACTTCAGGTCAAGAGTTAAAAACTCAGTCAACAAAATCTCTTTATCGTCACGTTTAATGAGCCTGATTATCCCCACAACAGTTTTGTGATGAGATACGGTCGTTCCAAATAATTAGTTGGAGGTCGCGTCTCTCTCCTCCTCTATCACCCACCATATAACAATTACAGACATTTTATACATTTAAAGCACCACGAAAGGTAACCGCATTAATCAATCTGATCATGACCTGCGGGAATGTAACCCTTCTTTTACAGCCTTACAGTCTTTAATGAAAGCACTGCGAGGTAACCGTATTCATCAATGTTATATTGACCTACGGGGAATTTAACCCTATTTTGACACCTAAGTAATCTTTAATAAAAGCGCTGCAAGGTAACCGCATTAATCAATCTTATCATGATCTGCGGGGAATTTAACCCTCTTTTTCTAGCCTTGCAGCCTTCGTATTTAGTGAGTGAAGGGCTGGGATCTACCCGCCACACTCAAACACTATTTTTGCTCTAGATCCAGGACTGAATACCCTTCTCTAAGCACTAATAATCTAATTTAACTAGAATATGTATTGTATTTCCCACCGTGACTAAGAACACTGAGAACGCTGCTGACAACTCTAAATCTTTTAGTATAATCAATCACAGATTTTTGATAATCAAAACAGGTGTCTGCTCACCTTTTGTATATGGCCATTGGTTTAGTTGTCACCAGTATCTCTGTGTCCTCCCCCTGGACTGGATTCTGTCCCCTGGCTGTCGGTGTCCCTTTCTAGAGATAAGCACTCACTCCGTCGGGAAAGTCACCACTTGTTGGAGTAGAATACCTCTGCTACGCGCCGTTCGTTGGATGAGGCTGGATCTCTATTAAATTAAGAAAGGAATTGAAAACACCGGAATCAAAGTTATAACAAATTATCTGAGTTTACTTCTAGTAGGAAACCAAACACATATACAAGTTATACAGAGTACTCCGGGTACCCCGGGCTTTTAGATTCGTGATGCGATGCGGCTAAAATGTATCGGGATCAAACCACCCATCGAACGAGAAGAGAGTGCCTTCTGTCAATGATGCGATGCGGACACAGTTTAACGGAGTCAACCACTCACCAAACCCAAAAAGCAATTTTACACACACAAACGTCAGTATTTCTATCTGTCTTTGGGGCGGAGATTTGTCGATTCTTCCTTCCCACTTTTCTCCCAAGCGAATCAGAGAACCCCTGGGGAGGAGCTGTTTAAACTGCTAACCTCCCCCAAGTGTCCTGATTGGCTGGATTCCCTTCTGGTCTGGTTCAATCAGAGTTCGGACCATAAAGTTCCATAAGGTCAAAAGTCAATGTTTATCTTTACCTTATCTTACTCTACATTCCTTTCCCAGGGGATATTTTCACCTAACCTTCCCTCCTTCCGACATTTAATCTCTTCCTCACCTATTTAATGATGTGTCTTTAACGACCTTAATGACCGCATCTGGCTTTTAGGGATGATAAGGATGTTGGTGTGTTGAAACACAGAATCTCTGGATCAGTGAGTTTAAAGTGAGAATAACATTCTTTTTCTAAGTGATTATCAAAACCCGTTCAAACAATACATGTTACTTCAATACAGTGTAGAATCATATCTTTTTCCTTCACAAGTCTGCAGACAGACGGCAGGCGAAAAGCTTTTAAAATGCGTGTTTTCTGAATGGAATCGGATCCATCAGGCTAAACTAACCTGTAGCTGCTCCGTCCACACTCACAACAGCGTCATACAGACATAAATAAAGCAGCGACTGTATTCTCCATGACACAGGCAGTCTGTGGTTTGTACTTGTTTAACTTTTGTCCAGTTTCTGAACAGATATGAGGAGCTGTGAGCTTTGAGTGCTAACAGCTAACGGTTGATGTGTTGGGACATGTTGCGCTCGGGTGCTGACCAATCACGAAGCGTCATTTCTTGACTGGCAGCAAAAAACAACCAATCACAGCAGTGCTTCTCTGGCTGGCTCTGTCCAATCACAAACAAGAAGTGTTCTCCCTAAAGGAATACCCTTTCCGTCCAATGTGAAATGCTGTGGTGTTTTCTGAAATGCTGTGGTTGGTGCAATCTTACAATGGGGTGGCTTTGAATCCCTGATGGTGGCAATGAGATGATCCCAATCAGTATTTGCTTCAGAGTCAGGTGGGCAGTCTTCATCGACGCTGGATCCATCGCTGCTAGACGCCGTTTCAGGAATGTAGTCTTTATCACTGACGGAACCTTCATTACTGGAAAGGCAGATGTCCTTCATCTTTAAAAAAAATAATAAAGGAACACCAAGTTTGTATTTTTTTCATTATCCAAAGAAATCAGATATTTATATAAACACATTACGTACCGGTGACTCGTTCTTGATGAAGCAGGTTTTGTGCCATGAGGTTGAACATACTAAAAACACAATTACAGAAGAAAAATGTACTGGTAACATTTCTTGAGCATTATTTTAACATTTAATCACTGTGCATTTCACTATATACAGGGATTCATCAGGTATGAAAAAGGTGACAAGGATCCGAGCCCCCCGACCCCACGGAATATCAGCTTTAAAATTAGGAATAACAGGATTTTAGCAGTTAGAACAACGAAAGCAGTTAATAATAACAGAAACGCCAAAGAGTCACATCTAATAGAAATGTATAAAAGCATTTATTTTAATTGTGTAGCAGTCAGTTTATAATTTTGGCAGCACTGTTGAGCATTTTGAAAAGTATTTTCATGCCTCTGTGCAAGGCTTAGTCTTTCTATCTGTATAGCCACTGGTGTAAAGTAACTAAGTTCATAAACTCAAGTACTATACTTGGGTACAATTTTGAGATACTTGTACTTTATTTAAGTATTTCAATGTTTTGCTACTTTGTTCTTCTTCTCCTCTACAGTTCAGAGGTACATGGTGTACTTTTTTGTTAAATCAGACTTTAGTTCCACCTGGAGTAAATCCACAAGCTACCCTGCAGTATACAAAGTCATTCAAACTAGCTGCACCTTTACCAGCTTTGAGAACACTTTCATGATCAATCATTATAAAACATATCATATATATTATTCTGAAATGGACCAATCTGCACAATGACTACTTTTACTGTCGCTACTTTCACTATATTTTGATGAGAATACTTTTCTACTTTCACTTGAGGAACATTTTGAATGCAGGACTTTTACTGAAACAGAGTATTCCTACACTCTGGTACTTCTACTTTTACTCAAGTACAAGATCTGAGTACTTCTACTTTTACTCAAGTACAAGATCTGAGTACTTCTACTTTTACTCAAGTACAAGATCTGAGTGCTTCTACTTTTACTCAAATACAAGATCTGAGTACTTCTACTTTTACTCAAGTACAAGATCTGAGTGCTTCTACTTTTAATCAAGTACAAGATCTGAGTACTTCTACTTTTACTCAAGTACAAGACCTGAGTACTTCTACCTTTACTCAAGTACAAGATCTGAGTACTTCTACTTTTACTCTAGTACAAGATCTGAGTACTTCTACTTTTACTCAAGTACAAGACCTGAGTACTTCTACCTTTACTCAAGTACAAGATCTGAGTACTTCTACTTTTACTCTAGTACAAGATCTGAGTACTTCTACTTTTACTCAAGTACAAGATCTGAGTACTTCTACTTTTACTCCAGTACAAGATCTGAGTACTTCTACTTTTACTCTAGTACAAGATCTGAGTACTTCTACTTTTACTCAAGTACAAGATCTGAGTACTTCTACTTTACTCCAGTACAAGATCTGAGTACTTCTACTTTTACTCTAGTACAAGATCTGAGTACTTCTACTTTTACTCAAGTACAAGATCCGAGTGCTTCTATTTTTACTCAAGTACAAGATCTGAGTACTTCTACTTTTACTCAAGTACAAGATATATACTTATACCACCTCCGTTTATAGGCTATGAAAAAAGCTATTTGAAAACGAAGGCTAAAGCTAACGTTAGCAGATAGTGACAATGTATGCTAGTTAGCTAGCTCAACAATTCCTTAAATAATATTGCGACAGAAAAACTTTTCAGTGCACATCACGCTCTGCCGCTCCGACAGGACCGTTCTAACAGCTGTTCACCAGCGGTCCAGTCTGTGCCACAGTGACTCTGGACCGCACAGTTAATATTAACGAACGCACCGTAGGTAATGTAGCTGCTGAAGCTAGACCCTCATCCCGGAGCAGCAGAGCCTTATTATACATCCATGAGCAGAGCTGACAGGCAGGAAGACTTGTGCTCGCGCTGCATTAGAATATATAAAAAAAGAACACCATGCGTGTCATGATGGCACATAACAGCTCACGGCCGCAGATTACTCCGGGTCCCAGACCCCCCCCCCATACCCCAAAAATATTTTTATTGCAGATCTACATGAATCACACAAACGACCTATTTTGGATTCAAAACGGCGAATTTCGCCGAAAGGTGACAAGTTTGCATCCCTGATATAACAAAGAAGAAACTAAGTCATTTAGAATCTAAGTTAAGTATTTGAAATTAAGTTTGTTTTATCGAAATGTTTATCATCTCAGAGTAAAAAATAAAACGGTGTTGTTTGACAGGTACTTACATTTACACGTAAAACCAATCCATTTGAGGCTTGAGACAGGTCCTCTGCAATCATGACAATTATCCAAAGAGGAAATAACTGCACTGGTGAGTTCATGATGACACTGTGGATCAAAAATTGAACATAAACAAAATAAATATGTTATTTTAAGTGTGTTTGAGTGTGAAATGTGACCCAGATACTTTTAGGACATAATCCTTATGACAATGAAAAACAATAAGGTTGTCTGCTTCGACACCTTATTTTATAAAAAACACAAATTGTACTCTTCATTTTGAAAAACTCTTATTAGCATCTGACTAAGAGCAGTTGAAGTAGTATTGAAAGTATGTCCTGCCTAAATTGTGTATCTTAGGTCAAGGCGTCATCAACGCTAACAAGCTGACAGATATCCAACTTGTTTGCCATACAGTATATGTGACAAAGATTCGTCCCTTTACCAGTGTGTGAAAAAACAATGGTGATAGAGTATTATGAAGTACAACTTGCCATTTTGGTTCGTGGGGACAACGGAGGATCTCTCTCGGGCTCAGGGTTAGAAGCTACTTCCCGGGGAGCCTGAAATTGTAGCACAAACAAAAGACACTGTTGTCACCGTGGTAGTGGTTTGATCTGACGTGTGTGCTGCAAAGGTTTAACAGTTACAGGTGTGCACATGCTGGATGAAGGCAATGATCTAATGTCTAGTCATGTCAACAGGTTGTAAAATCCTCTGTCCTTACAAGGACTGCTGTCCCTACAAGACACCCTGTGACCAGACGGCCTTCATCTTTGTGTGTAGTATAACATTTAACCCGTTTCAATGTGACCCAAAGTATGGGGAAACGGAGCCCCCTTACCAAGACAATAGTGCTGGTAAAACAGCTTCTATCTATTCCAGTCAGCGACACGCAACAATGTATGGAAAAACAATACATAGAAACTTACCATCTTGTCCCCTGATGCGTTTGTAGTTGTATGAAGTTCGGTCCCAGCCTCTCGTGTCCCACCACTTACTTCCTGTAAATAAGTGAAAGATAGGCACGACTTAAAAACATTATCGACTCATTTCCATTCATCTATCAATGGGACACAAATCTGAACATTAACACGACTTTATCCAATTCATTAGCCAGCAATGAAAATAAAAAGACATTATTAGCCCCTAAATAACATGTTGGGGCCTAAAAGCAATTTATCACAGAGCAATAATTGATAAAAATCTACTAACACATTGACTGTTAGCATGCTATGTGTGCAGCATCCATCAGCATATCTCATCCCAGGAAGAAAGCTGATTAGCACAGTAGGACTGTCATTTTAACCATATTACAAGTTGGCATCCTCATTTTGTTTCATGAATGCCATGGTAGCGCTGCTCCTCTGTTCCAAATACGACTTCTACTAACTCTTACTCTGAGCATTTATCTTTTCATGGTGCAGTAAATAACAGTCAACAAACTATGGCTTAAATAATATAGAGACACGTAATATGTTTCAGTTTCTGGAATGTGACTAATCTTTCACAGCATTAAGAAAAGTACAATACTGTCACAGGCTCAGTGTACATGTATTGTTTCCCTCTACAGCCCAACACAGAAAGTGATTGTGATATGAAGTAAAACTTGCCATTTTGGTTTGTGGGGACAACGGAGGATCTCTCTCGGGCTCAGGGTTAGAAGCTACTTCCCGGGGAGCCTGAAATTGTAGCACAAACAAAAGACATTGTTGTCACCGTGGTAGTGGTTTGATCTGACGTGTGTGCTGCAAAGGTTTAACAGTTATGGAGGTGTGCACATGCTGGATGAAGGCAATGATCTAATGTCTAGTCATGTCAACAGGTTGTAAAATCCTCTGTCCCTACAGTAGGCCTACACATTTTTTGCTGAAATAAATTAAATCTGCTTAACTGAGCTGAGTGGTAGTACCATGAAGAACAATGCAACACTTTTTCCCTGTCAGTTAAGCAATGTCCTAAAGAGAACATAACCTCACCTTTAAGCGCCAGGGCCAAGCAGAATCCCCATAGTTGTAAGTTATCTCCTCCTCTGGGAATATTTCCGTTACAGCAAATAGGCACAAGTGTGGGGTTCCCTTGACAACGATTTTTTTCACTCTGCAGTTTGGATTCCTGTGATTATCATTTGCAAGACGTCCAAGTGTTCCATCCTCTTTTGAAGCATTAATACTGCAAGACAAATAGTCCAGATACAACATCATGTATCATGACAGAAAAGCACTGAATTCATACAAGAAGTCACTATGAAACACATAAATCTGGTAATGGTCAATTATCCATTTGAGGTAATCAATAAGCAGCAAACTCACCAAAAGTGCATTCCAGACCAGATGAAATCGAATAAGATGTTATTTTTGACATCTAGATCTTCACTTACACCCAATATTCCACGGGGTACTTCCACCACAAAAGTTGACGGTTGCCAATATATTCCCATGTAAAAACACCACGTCTACAATAGCAAAAAAAAACGCATTAACATTAAACATTTACCTATACCCAATTATTTGTAAATATTTGCCATGAGTGTGCTAGATGCCCAACACTGCTATCCACACATAAGCTTCATCCAAGTTAGCCTCTGACATGTAAAGTGCCTTGCAGGTAAATACGGAGTCAAATTGTTTGATCAGCACGCACTCCTTTCTCCAATAAAGCTCCACAGTGATATGCAAAAGGTGTTGGTTAACAGTACTTTGAAACGCTTAACATAGTAATGCCAACACTGCTAGGGTTGAGGGTAGCTGTGATTTGACTATATCCAGGGGTGAGTTCACGATTATTTACTGGTATGAAGTGACACATTATTTTATATTGAATTTCATTGTAAATAATCAGAGCACTGTTTTAATCAGCATGTTCCATCTAATGTTCAGATTAGATGTTGCAACATATTAGAAAATACTTGTAAAGCAATAGTACTTTTTGTTGCCATATGTATAAACATATACAAAATAAAATGTAAAATGTCAACACAAATGTTATATTTTAAAGTTAAAAGTACCATTATTGTGCACTGTCATAATTAAGAGGCTACATTGAGAGGATAGACAATGTTGTGCTATCATAAGTTCTGTTGTACACTTTTGATTTCAATAAATGATCATATGCATGGTTAAAAAGGCTTCATGATATAATAATAAGGGGCCGGGTAGTTTGCTAACCCTGCCAAAAAACCCTCGCACTGAGGAGAGGCTCTGTGAAACCTCCCCAAAAGTGTAGTCAAAGCATCTCTAAACACAGCGGGTGTCTGGCAGTTTAGGACACAATTGATTTGGTATACAGTGTTGTTTTTCAATGAGAGGAGCACACATTTTAAAGACATTTCCTGAAAACGTACATTGTTGAAAATACGTGAGGCTGATGGCCTAAGAGCAATGGCTAAAAGGTCAGGGTTCCCTGTGTGCCCAGTTCGACCATATTGATGAAACAATGCTATACGGTCTTTGATACTACATACTGTATGAGATAAATAGCTTACCTTTAAACGTATTGATGAACCTGGCCTCTAGGAAGGGTTTGTCTCTGCCCAGAATTATATGGTCTATTGCATCCTGTTCAGGAGTCTTTCTCCTGCTCCTTTGTGTCATCCTTGCTATTGCTAAAAAATAAAACAGAGAACAGGCTAAGTTTAATATACCAAAGCATGGTTAACAATAACATCTCTTGGGGTAAAAAGCATCTCCATTTAGAAAACACGCATTTTAAAAGGTTCTTCCCCTGCCGTCTGTCTGCAGACTTGACAAAGCATTAATTCATGGTTGTTACTAACCGGTATCAGTATGTTGTTACTTCATCATTTAGAAACCTGTATTACAATTAAATCACGGTCAAATATGTCCATCTTGTTGTAGTTGTTGCCCCCTTGCCAGCGATTCTCTCTCTACATCAGCCCGACTCAGCCTGGTTGTTGGCCCGGAAAGAACCTCGATTTTATGGGGCCAGAAAAACTGTGAAATAGTACCCACTAGCCGGAACTACGCCAAGTGGAAATGCAACCAAAAACGGGCCGCACGGCACGCTTAAAGCGAGCTCCGCGCTGTAGTGGAAATGCCCATAAGTTAGACGTAGCTAAGCCAGACCTTAGAGTTAAGACCAGCCCAGCTGGTGCACTCCACTCCTGTTGTGCTCTGACGGCAGTGCACCTAGATAGATAGATAGATCGTACTTTATTGATCCCAAATTGGGAAATTGTTTTTGTTACAGCAGCATAAAAGGCATTTACAATAAAACAAAATATACAAGAATAGAAATAAAATAAAATAAAATATAAAATAAAATATAAAATATACATGTCAAAATACAAAATAGAAAATATACATACAGATATTATATATATATATATATATATATATATATATATATATATATATATATATATATATACAAATATATATATATTCAAAATATATGGAATTATGGAGTATTAAATATGAAACAGATTATGTGTGAGTAAAATGTACAACGTGGTTTTATTTCTAGAGAAACTATGGAGCAGAGAGTTCTCTTCCAGCCAGAGGTGATTTGTTGTACAGAGTTATTGCAGTGGGCAGGAATGTTTTCCAGTATCTGTCCTTGTGACAGGGGAGCTGCAGCAGTCTGTAGGAGAAGGAGCTGCAGCAGTCTGTAGGAGAAGGAGCTGCAGCAGTCTGTAGGAGAAGAGAGCCAGCAGTCTGTAGGAGAAGGAGCTGCAGCAGTCTGTAGGAGAAGGAGCTGCAGCAGTCTGTAGGAGAAGGAGCTGCAGCAGTCTGTTGGAGAAGGAGCTGCAGCAGTCTGTAGGAGAAGGAGCTCCAGCAGTCTGTAGGAGAAGGAGCTGCAGCAGTCTGTAGGAGAAGGAGCTGCAGCAGTCTGTAGGAGAAGGAGCTGCAGCAGTCTGTAGGAGAAGGAGCTGCAGCAGTCTGTAGGAGAAGGAGCTGCAGCAGTCTGTAGGAGAAGGAGCTGCAACAGTCTGTTGGAGAAGGAGCTGCAGCAGTCTGTAGGAGAAGGAGCTGCAGCAGTCTGTAGGAGAAGGAGCTGCAGCAGTCTGTTGGAGAAGGAGCTGCAGCAGTCTGTTGGAGAAGGAGCTGCAGCAGTCTGTAGGAGAAGGAGCTGCAGTCTGTT